GATGATCATGCACGCGATGCGCAGCATCGACGCGGCCCTGTCGAAGAAGTGGGAGGCTATGCAGGCGCAGGGCCAAACAGACGCAACCCTGGACGACCAAAAGGGTATACAGGTTATCTTCCTGGACGGCGAGGAGGCGTTCCATCTCTGGTCGGCGACGGATTCGCTATACGGGTCGCGCTCTCTCGCCGAACACTGGGACGCACAAGTCCACCCGGCCATGTCAGTCTACAAGACTCCGCTCTCGTCCATCTCGCTGTTTGTACTGCTCGATCTACTGGGTAGCAAGAGCCCCTACATCCAGTCTTACTTCGCAACGACCCACTGGGCCTACCAGAAACTGGCCACGCTCGAGAAGCGGTTCCGCGATCTGAAGCAATTCAAGTCTTTCTCGGGGGACGCGTCCGAACGGCAGTGGTTCGCTGACGGCGCGAAGAACGAGCATCAGCTGACCATATACTCGGGTATACAGGATGACCATCTCCCGTTCCTTGCGCGGGGCGTGGAAATTCTACACGTAATTGATGCTTCGCCTACGACGGGGTTCCCCAAGGTCTGGCACACGATGGATGACGACGGTGAACATCTGGATCTGGACACGGTGGAAGACTGGAGCATGCTCTTTACTGCGTTTGCAGCCGAGTGGATGGAACTGGAGGGCTTCTTGCGGGACGCTGAGGCACAACCCAAGGACAAGCGATCTCATCCGGAGAGGAAGACTGAATTGTAAGCCGTTACCTGGTTCTGGTCATTGGCCTTTGGTAAACTTATTGTACCACAATCTATGTTACACAATGTGCTGTTCGTGGATTGCTATTGATTTGAGCTGCGCTGACGGTTAATTGGTCTGCCTAGTATTTGAAGACCGGCAAGTTACGCACATGTCAACAGTCCATCCTGTAACTAAGGAGTTTTGGGTGATACTCTGTACCTCAATCTATCAATTTCGCAGCTGGCCTGCAGGAAGGGATATCTACCACTCTATTTTACTTTAAAAAAGATTTCCCAACATATACCCGGTCATCGCCACAAGGCCCCATGAAGGCTCGAGCACCGTGCGCAGAATCGCAGGGCCCGGGCATACCCCTCGTAAGCCCCAGGCAAGACCAAATGCCGCCGCACCTGTCACAAACCGCCAGTCTATGTCCGCCACAGTCAATGTAGGGAGTCTCCAGTTATCCGCCAGGGTGGGCTTAGTGGACTCCTCTTCCTCCTGTTCCTCTCCCTTCCTCTGCCCAGGCTTCACAGACAAGTAAGTCGCAAGCGACGGACCGATTCCGAACAGAATGATGAGCGCAAGCGAAGGATCCCAGCGAGACGGATCGGTAAGCACGGCGAAAAAGCGGAGGACTTTCGCCGGATCAGCCATTCCGGACATGAACAGTCCCAGACCGAATTGCAGCCCAGCCAGATACGAAAAGATCGTCCTCGACTTCTTCGACCGGTCCAGCACCCGCGGAACGATCACGAAGTTTGTCACGAGTGTCAGAGCGGTGGTGGTGACCATGAACGCGAGCTCCTCCATCGACGGGTACACGGGGGTATAACAGGGGATACCGGACGGGCAGGGCGGAATGTTCTGGCCTCCGTTGACGAAATTCGCTGTGAGCAGGGCGGTGGTGAAGAAGATGGCTGTTGCGATGAGGGAGCGAGGCGACAGGCGCGAAAGACCGCAGAGCATGTGGCCTGATGTGCAGCCGCGGCCATTCTAGTTCAAGGTCCTCCGTCAGCAAGAAATCTCAGAAAAGCGGCCGCGGTAGCCTTTTACCTTTGTTCCCCAGCCCAGTAGGAACCCTATACCCAGCGTCGACGCCACGGAAGCCCACGAGTTTGGCGCAGGCGGATATGTTGGTATCAAGGATGGCGCGAACAGATAGATCGGGGCCACGCTGGAGACTAACCCTGCGATGATGGGGACATTATCGCAGCTGGGATTGAAAACGCATCCAGACAATAACGACGAAATGCCAAAGACCGCTCCATTGTGTAGAAGGAGGCTTGAGGAACTCTGGAAAAGCAGCAGAGCTCCAAGGGAGGTGTGGACGGGCGTGAACATTGCGACCGCTGGCCAGGGAGACTGAATTCTCTGTCTTCAATCTCTGTCTAGAAAATCAATTGAAGTGGCGTTGTTCCTCCCATACCACAAAGTCAAAAGATGGAATTTTTGGGTCCACCATTGTAGAAGTTTGGTTGATTCTCAAGGGGGTTCACCATAAGGAAGAGCAAATCCACAATGTCGTCGATGCGCCACAGTCATTTTCCGGCTTTCTTTGAGGTTCGTTCGGCGATTGCGTGCTTCCACGTCAATAATGATGATTATCAATGGTCCCCGAGCAGCTTGTTGAGTTTCCAGTCCATGGATGAAGGCTGGGGAAGATGCTCTCCACCGTCCAGGTCCCCGAACTGAAGCATAAGTGAATGAATATCAAGGGGTAGCATTCTTAATTCTAGCTGCTTTGAGACCGCAGAATTTTAGATTTCGATAGTCAAGTTGAGTTCCCGCGAATACAACAGGCAGTTTTCTAAAAAGAAGCTCGTTCGAAGCTCGTGAGGTATGATGTATCTCGGGACACTTACAGGGGAGATGTGGTCCCCGAACCGGACTTTATTGGAATGGCTTGTTTTCATCTTAATGATCAACATCACCACCGAGCTTCTGGCCAGGAAACCTGTGCCTGGGACAAAGATCGATAAGACAAAGAGCAGAGGAGGTCCGATGTATGTTGTCCGTTTAGGAAGAGTGTTTGTTGGCTCTCATGATGGATCAATAGGGGTGCATAAGACCTGCAGGAGAGGCGCATATGACAGCCGCAATACCAATTGCTTACCAACTACCTATATCGCGATCTTCTCCAAACACTGGTGGATATGTCAAACATTGTGTATTAATATTACATCGACTCGAAACGAAGGAAAAGGATCTGGACAGCTTCATAACGATAAGTTAGCAGCACGATGGACTGCATCTGTGGAGACATTGTCCCTGCTGTTATGGCGATGGCTACCCAACCCTTCCGCAAGCGAAATGAGTGATCTAGAGGGGATATGCAAGTCCTGTTTGGCCCATCACAGAGTCCTCGCTCACCCTTCAGTATTAATCAAAGCATGGAGTGAAGTGAATTGCATTGATCAATCGACAATAATGGTTGATGGAGGACTTGCGTTGATGGAGACACAAGTACGGAGTAGACATAAACACTATGACTAAGCAATGCATAGCACTGATCATCATCATCTGGCCCTGACGTTGTCGTCTCTTTTCCACTCATGATTGACAACGTAGATTTCGACAGAGCACTTGCAAAATTTGTGATCCCTGGGATATATTCTTCAAATGCGGATGGGTGAATTTCCAGAGACCCACGAGCAGTCCTGCTCCACTTTATACCTGGCATCATGAAGCGCAGTCTGAACGGGGAAAACAAACAACTACAGTCCTGTTCGACTAGCGACCAGGTTCTCGAGGATAGAAAACCGTGTCTACTGTCAACACTAGATGCGCCTGTCTCTCCACCTAGAAGAAGGAGTCGGAACAGGAAAGTTCCGGACGATCAACCTTTACCTTCCCTCTCGTCCGGGAAGCAGACAAATGGCGCAGACTCAAAACGCCCCGGTTCTGAACCAAGCCTTGCAGCCATCGAAGCCGGCACAATAGAGGTGACAGATCACCTTAAGATCTTCTCATCGAGACTTGGTAGGTGTGCTCGTCCAGTAGCACCCCAAGTGCCTCGGCTGCCGATCAGAGACTGGATGAATCTGTACGAACGAAACCTGCATCCAAACGGACGACACTTTGTGATTCATCAACATGATCACCCCATCGCAGGACCGCACTATGACCTGCGGCTGCAGTTTTCGGAGACGAGCTCTGTCAGCTGGTCAATCATGTACGGATTACCCGGTGATCCCAATAGTCGGCGGTTGAACCGGAACGCGACTGAGACGCGGGTGCATTGTTTTTGGGTATGTTGTCTCATGGTATTCAGTGAGGCATGTTCCCTTTACAATTGTCTGACAGTACTTGAACCTACAGAATCACCTAGTCGAAACAGCTTCCGCAAGAACAGGTAGCATGATCATCTGGGACACCGGGGAATACGAAATCCTTCCTTCCCTGTCCGAGCCAGAAATGGCGGAAACAGACGATTCCCGGTCAGAACTCTCTGACGCATCACTTCATTCTCCTGTTGATAAGAAGACTGAGAGTGAGAAACTCCGCGAGGCTTTTCGCAACGTACGTAACAAGTCCCTTCCTCAGCCCTTACGACGACTTAACCATGCTGATAGCCTACAGCATAAAATCCGCCTCCGACTCCATGGAACCCGTCTTCCAAAGAACTATACCATCATCCTCCGGCTAGACAAGAACCTTGACTTTGCAAAGCCGTCTACGCGAATTCCCCGCAAGAGACGTAGACGGGCTATTCATTCATCATCAACCCGTCCGGACCCCAGCACCTCCTCAGACTCTCAAATCTCAGACGGGGAGCCTCGTGATCAATCTGCAGACGCAAAGGCAGACATAGGCACCACCCCCATGGCCTCCCATTCCGATTCCGAAAGCGCCATAGACCATCAAATTCGAGTGAACAATGCGTACCCCGGTTCCACAAACACGATCGGCTCGGTCCACCAGCGACGATGGTTTGCCACGCTGGACCGCGTGAACTCCGGGTTTGTTCCCGAGAATGCTAAAGCTAACGCTGGGCCAGGGAAGAAGAGGTGGGCGCGCAAGCGGAATGTGCGAACGGGACAGGAACTGGGGTTCGAGCCGTTTTATGTTCGCGGGCCTGAGGTTGAGAGGAGCGTGGTCACGGGGAGGCTGGGGAAGGATGTGCTGGAGGATGAAGGTGTGAGGGATTTTGTGCCGAGACGGGGGTGGAGGGCCGTTGTCGAGTAGGATTTCCTTGGGCTCATCGACCTACGCTTGACTCGACTCTTCGACAAGGGTGATTGTTTCATTGCTGCTGATCGAAACCTATCCGAAATACATGAAACGATCATCCAACAAAGACCTGCACAAGGACTTCATTATTCCATCCACTATCCAATTTCATTGCCTTCCACGCCGCCTGAACATCAACCGCCAGAACCTTAGCATGAGCACCCCCCTCCTTCCAAACCGTCTTCCTCGGCACAGCTTGGCCACGGATCGTCACCATAAAGTTTCTGGCAATACTCCAATCCTGCAAGTCAGAAAAATAAATACCTAGAGTCCCCAGAGCTTTGAGGCTGACGTCAAAACGCAGCCGGCCGTTCTCCGCCATGAAGATGTCGCCGTTCGCCACGGCGGCTGCGCCGGTCATCTTACCCAGCAGGCCCAAGATAGCGACGTGGGTGAGGCTGGTGCCATCCGCGTTGCAGCCTCTACTCCCCTTGAGGGTAAAGGATTTGGTCGGGAAGGCCGTGAGAATCTCCCATTCTTTCTGTTCGAGGACGATCGATACGAGGGCGTTGTCGTCGGAGGGACGCATCAGGTCGGTGATTTTGCCGCTTGTGTGCGCGCGGACAATGTACTGCCCGCTTGAATCTTGATGAATGCCTGGGAAATCGCGCAAGGGTACGATGCAAGATGCTCCCGCGGCGTGGATGTTGAAGAGTCCCAGAATGCCGCTGCCTGTCTTGGCCCACCCGGTGTACGTTCCGATGCGCAGGATGTTGCCTTCGTTGAAATCGTGGTACATGTCTAGCGTGCGTCCCACGATGCTGGGTCTGAGGATGACTGTTGACCCGTGGATAGTGGGCGCGGTCATCTGGTTGATGACCGGTAGGCTGTGTTTGCCGGGTTCGTCGGTGATGTATATCGGGCCGCCTGAGAGGCATCGTGCAGCTGCATGGAACGAAGCGTAGGGATGGCACGTCTGGAACATGTCCCAGTCAGGCAGGACGTTGAGGTACCGTGTCAAGAGTGCATTATGTGCGTTGCAAAATACATGCCATGTGTGAGATGCCGGGATCTCCGGGAAGAAGTCATCTGAGTTGCGCAGAGGGATCTGAGGTTTATTTGTTGGGAGCTGGGAGTGAAAGATGGCTTGGGGGATCATGGACATGCACGAGATCGCCCTCGTACTGAAGTGTCTCAGCGAGGAAATGGACCATGCGTCCTGGTAAGCGTTCATAAACCGTCTCCGGTCCTCGGGGTCTTTCAGCAGATCAAGGAAAAACTGGGCGTCTGTTTTGACCGAATCCACACCAGCAGATGTTAAGAAGCTGTAGAAATCATCATAGAAGCGCTGGATGTCTTCTGGGTCAATTGCCAGCAATGATCCCTTTTCGAAGGCGTGCGCAATGGGCTCTCCTGCGGCCGGATCCATAATCCGCACCTCTTTAGTCTTGTACTCTTTAGCAAGGTCCCCGTCTGGCGAAATTCCACCCCAGTACCCAAAGAGGGCATGCCAGACAGCGATATGCTGGATATTTCGGTGCTTCTGCCGGACGGTCTCTATAGTCCGTTTGAGTCCCTGCGGGAAGGCTTTGGAATCTGCCTCGAAACGGGCCAACGCCCTCTTGAACTGCGACTCGCCTTCATTGTCCAGAGCCTGCCAATTATCATCGATGATCAGGTTTGAAATTTTGACTCCCTGCTCCTTCAAGGAGTCCAGAGCGAAAAGGATCTTTTCTTCGGTCAGGTTCTGCCCCAGCCCGTTCCAAGTACAGTAGGCCAGACCATCATACCATTCCGACATCCATTGCGCCTTAGGGTCCTTTTCAACGACCACAATATCGTCGTCGGTGGGCGAGGCCGGAGTCGGTGATTGATCAGACATAGCCTCCGTAGCGTACGGCCTGACCATTTTCCGAGCTTCGTATATGACAGCGCTCATTGCTACTTCGAAATCATCGGCGGCAGAAGCAAGAACCTGAAACTTGCTTGCTTCAGTGTGATCACTCTTCGCCTTGATCACGACTTCCCCTTTCTCGTTCGAAGCAAACACAGTCAGGACATCACCAATCCCTGAGACTGCCAGAAGAACCAGATGGGAACCGTCGGTCCGCAGGAAGGAACATAATACGGCATCCTCTGTCAAGCTGAAATTCTTCTTTCCATGTCTAGGCCCAAGCCATGGAATCCAGACCCGCACTAGGGCAAAATAACGAGCGATCGAGGATGGTTGGCCCAAAGCGACCTGCTTGAACCCCGACTGGCCCTCTTTGGCCGCTTCTACTGATCCAGAAAGGCTCCACAAAAGAGAACTAGGGGCCTCACTCGTACGCGACTCGACCTCGACCTCAGTCGAGAGATGATCGAAGTACTTGCCAAACCCTTCTCTATCTGACGTTGTAGATGCATTTGCCATCGCATAAGGACTAGAGGACGGAGCCCGAAAGGGATCCGTAGCAACAGATGAAGAAACACCCGTGTCGAACTGAGAAGTCCGCGACGCAAATACCAGCTCCCCGTCATTGATATGACGTTGTTGGTTCACCCATTGCCATGCTGCCTCTGGAGCGGCTCGAAATCGAACCGTGAACTGCGCATGGCCCCCGGTAGCAGGGAGAGCGAGGTCCTCGGAGAAGACATAGCGACGGTACTTGTAATCTTCCTCGTCCCCGTTCATCAGAGGAGCTACAATGGGCTCACATTTCTTCAGCGTGAGTGCCGTCCATTCGGAGCTGGCGAGATTATGCCAGATCTGCGCTTCCCATGGCTGCTCTGGGAATAAGCTGCTTGATTCAATTACCACGGTAAAGCGAAGCTATTGTTCATTAGCTTATTTGATTGGTCGTAGCAAAATGGATCAAAGTAACGAAGTCTGCCGCGAATATCATAGAATAGAGAGGCAGTTCTCCTCAAGTCTGAGATGAACACTTGAATCAATGATAATAGCTCACCGTATCATCCTTTTCCGACTGCAAGGCCTTCTGTACCCTTGGTATAGAAGTGACCTGCCCCAGAGGCGGATAGCACGTCACGCGCGCAAACAGACTCATCTGCGCGGGACGGTAGAACTGAAGCTGTGATGGCATTTGATGGCGACCCGGGCCGATGATGGGCCGAATCGACGTATACTTTGTGCTGACCTGCATCTAGATATGTAGAGTAGACCGGGAGAATCGAGAATGTTAAAAGTCAAGCTATGGAGCTAAAAAGTGGGGAAACATCACTACTTTTCCAGTAGTACAGAGTAGTGCGAAGAGGACCCATTTTCATGATGGGTGCAAATCAGGATAAGGGATGCTGGATGATCATGGCGTTATGATGCATGATGAGCTGTTGTGCGGCGGTGGCGTGTTGCGGTCAATGATGAGGGGAAGTTGCTGAGCGACGCCCCTCGAGATTCTCATGGGATTTTGGAGATGCTATTGGTGTTCCTGGATGAAAGTCATCTATCTGTAGGTAATAAGAAAGTCGATATCTCTTTGGCTTAGATAAGGAAATCTAGAGCGATGAAAAGGCTACTCAAGTAAGATGGAGATGGCCGAGATAGCGTCATACGTCTTTTGGCATTAATCACTCTATAGTGCAATGGCTATAGTAGTACATATGCACTCGATAATCCATTCAAAGTTGGCATAATCATCATTTAATAGGCTTCATGTAGTCTGATACGCTCGCGTTTATTCGATCTTAATTGCCAGCTTTCCGAGATGCTTTTGAGCCCACTATTGCTTGCCGTTAGCACCCTATTCTCAATAGCCTTCAAGTGGAAGAAGACTCACCATGTATTCATAAGCTTCCTTGGCCTGATCGAGACGGAAAACCTTCTCGTCAACGACCGGGTGGATGTTATTCACCTCAATGGCCTTGATCATATCGTTCATCAAAGCCTTGCTTCCGACATATACACCCCGAATGGTGCAGATGTGGTTGAGTGCTTCAAGCATGCCGGGCTGACCCTTGTGATCGACACCTCCGAGGAAACCAATGATGCTGATTGTGCCCTCGAACTTGATGCACTTCAAACTCTGAGAAAGAGTTCCAGAGCCTCCCACTTCGATAATGTGGTCGACACCGACGTTGTCGGGAGTCAGAGAGCGAGCGGTTTCGCCCCAGTTGGGGTTCGTCTTGTAGTTAATGACATGGTCCGCTCCAAGCTCCTTGAGCTTCTTGGACTTCGCGTCAGAGGAGGTCGTAGCAATAACAGTAGCTCCAGCTGCTTTAGCGAACTATTCCAGGAATATTGTCAGCTTGTCGCGTGTTCCTTGCTCAAGTATGCGGCCAACTTCAGCTTGAAGACGTACCTGCAGGGCAAACATGCTAACACCGCCGGTTCCTTGCACCAGAACAACCTCACCCGGCTTAAGAGCGTTCATGCCATACAGAGCATTCCAGCTGGTGACAGCAGCGCACGTAAGGGTGCTCGACTCGATGAAGTTTAGATTCCTGGGAGCCCTGACCAGGCCGTTTTCGTTGAAAACACCGTATTGGCGCAGAGTACCATCAATGACACCACCGAGACCGGATTTGGTGCTCTGCGTGTCGACAGGACCGTACTGGTGCAGCTGGTTGAACAAGGTCACCACTTTGTCGCCTTTCTTGAACTGGGTCACTTTCGGCCCGACCTCGACGACCTCGCCGGCACCATCGGAACCGGGGACAACGGGGAATTTAAGAGGGAAGGGGTACATTCCCTGTCGAGGAAACCAGAAACGTCAGCGACAAACGATTGATTTGCTCATTGCCGTCTCATGCGTAGATGACGATTGACGCACCTTTGGGATGATCAGATCACGATAGTTGAGCGACGCAGCGTGTAGCTTGACGAGGACCTCATTTTCACCACACTTGGGCACAGGAGCTTCCTTAAAATTAAGACTCTCAAAACCATTCTCCTTATCCACAACAACCCACTGCTTCATAGTTGATGGAGCCATTTTTCGTATGTAACGCGTCGAGTATCGGACTGGTCAATTGAAGAGGTATCGCGATCGAAATCAAGATGTTAGTTAGAAATGTTCTCAACTGATCAGAGAGAAGCAGTCCTCTTAACCCAAGCTCTCGACCTTCGGTCCTTGACGTAAGTCTGAGGAGCTCCACCTGCTATGACGGCACGCTGATAACTCTCCGATTCGGGCCATCTTTAACGGTGCCGAGGGATGTCCGAAACATCTTCAGATTATCAATCCCTATGAATCAAATCTGCTTATAAATTCAGCCCATCTTTGCTCAGGTTGCTGGAAATCGTTTGGGCAATGACTGCTCGGATGTCTCCTAAGGTAGTGTTGTGATTCAAGTTGCTCGAGTGATTTGAAGTGGATTGAATACCTTCAAACACCGAGTCACCGAATGGCCGGCAGTTGCACCTCAAGTGATATCTTTCTGATTGTTTTAATTAATCATCAATGCTGGAGGATGAGCAGTAAAAGGAGGGATGTATGGTTGGTCTTCATCGTATTCTACCATTCGTTTGGCCCTTTTTTTCTACGATGGACAACGAAGAGACGTCCCGAAGTTTGATTCATTCTAGAATTCTCTCTCCACTATGGCAAATCCACAAACCGATAGTCAATTGTCGGGCCTGTTGTTTTGTTTTCAGAATCTGATAGAATAATCATCAGTCAGCAACGGTGTGAAGGCCAGTATCTAGTACTGAGTACGTACCCTTTTACACCAGAAAACCCGGACTTCTTATCCAGGACATCTCCACGCATTGTGAGTATGGCTTGTACCAAAGGCCGTACTTTCTCGCGAATGTCACCTACCTTCAAGGTCACTCATATTGTTCCTCATAATTGCCCGGCTTGTAGCGAGGAAATCTATGTTTCGGAGTCTGACTTTGCCAAGGAGCATCTGAAGCCGGTCTTAAAGTATTCATCATGCGCGAGCACAAGGCAGGAGCGGCTTCGAGAAGATCGTGAAAAGAGGGCTGAAGTCGAAGTTGATTGACGCTGTATGCCGCATAATGGGCCAGCCAGTCCAAGAGACTGTCATTCAGCGGAATCTTGAGGAATGCGACCCGCAAAACAGCTATGACTGCACGTTGTTGATCGAGCGTTTCGGGTCTGTTGATATCCACGAAGCACGCAGTGAGCTTTTCATAGGCCAACTGCTTCAGCTCCCAGATGAGGTATGCGTCGCTGAAAATATAAAGCCGGAGATGAGCCAGCAGAGGATGATTGTCAAGATCCACATCCATGCTTTCGCTCACATTGGCTGCTGCTGCTGATGATGCATCGTCCTCGTCAGCGTCATCGGAGGCTTTGATTTTCGTCTGCACCAGATCTCTGCTGATCACTGAAGCCGGATAGTCGCCTCGATATGCCCACTCAACAAAACGCGCAAGAGTCCCATCAGTCGTGTCTGAGCAGGTATAGACTCCATCCTGGCCCTCCGAGAATCCGCTCGCGAATGCTGCAGCGAGAATTCTACACTTGGACTCCAGGAGATCTTTGTGAATCTTGAACGTGCATGTTGATCCTGGCGCTTTTAAGGCAACCGTATCGGACGTCAAGAATCTATCTCGCTATCAGCAGTTGAATTTTCCAGCAAGCGCAAGATACTCACTCGAGACAGGTTGCCTTTCCTTCCTCATTAGACATTTCAGGTGCAGGTCAAAGTCCAATTGCCAGTAAGGTAGGTGGGAAGTACTAGAGAAACCGGATGAGCTGTGGTGCAGAGTAGAGGCAGTTGATGTTCCCTGGACTCTATTTTCCACGCAGCGATTGCTTGATGGACCGTCTGCCAGACATCCTGGCTCCTATATATACCTGATTGACAGTTTCTGAGCTGCTATGATAGCCACGCGGAACCATCGCGGGATAATGTCAAATCTCATGGCCAAGACGATCAAAACAAAGCATAACGCAGATCTGAGTGGATTCAGCAAACAACTCTTTCGCAAAAGACCACTTGCTCTCAGCGGTCATTGGATGTAGTGGTGTAGCTGTTGGTGTCCATGAGACTTCTGGAGAATAAAGACTCATATAGGTGGTTTTGGTCTTTGCAATTGATATAGAGAAAGACTGAAACAAGCCCAAAGCCAGATGTTTGCATTATCTTGCCGGGTGCCTTTCAGCTGCAGAAGTGAGGAAGATGGTATCAAAGGAGAAGGACTTCCTTTCTAGGCTTCATCATCGCACAAGTGAGTAGACAAATTAGATGATGAAGCGAAAGAGCTTCCGCTTCCTAAATTAGCGTAATCCTCAAGTGAGAGATACATTAAATGAGGGGTACAATAATCAGCAGTCTGTCGTATCCCCTCATTAATTCCATTTTTCTTCATCTCATTTCTGGATGGCTGCTTGCACCCTCTCTTTCCTGAGCTCAAGGACGAACCGGTTATGTCTCTAGGACGTAAATTCAAGCTCAATTCTGGGTATGACATCCCTGCTGTCGGTCTAGGAACCTGGGTTAGTAGAGTTCTACGTTCGAGCTACATTAATCTTGCTGCTAATTATTTGTCAGAGATCAGCGCCTCGCGAGGTAGAAGATGCCGTTGCGACAGCTCTTCGCGTCGGATACCGGCACATCGACTGTGCTGCTGTCTATTTGAATTAAGCCGAAGTAGGACAGGGATGGAAGAAGTCCGGTGTTCCTCGAGCGGATATATTTGTTGGTTAATCGCAGTGAACTTAACTGTGTCTGATGAAGTATCTCATTTCATTCTGTAGTTAACTAGTAAGCTGTGGAATACGCACCATCATCCGAGCCATGTCGAAGAAGCGCTCGACAGGACACTCAAGGATCTACAGACGGATTATCTGGACTTGTACCTGGTATGTCCGTTGCACTCTCGACGGATCTCTGCTGATCGAGGAAACACAAGATTCACTGGCCCGTATCATTTGTACATACAAACGACACCTTTCAACCTCTCGACCCGGTCACAAAACGATTCCGTTTAGTGGACATCCTCATCGGCGATACTTGGGCAGCATTGGAGAAGCTAGTCAAGGCTGGCAAGATTCGAAGCATCGGTGTCAGCAATTTCACCATCGAGAAGATGCAGGAACTACTTGTAACAGCAGAGATTCCCCCAGCGGTCAACCAGATCGAGGCTCATCCTTACCTCCTTCAGCCCAAGGTGTTGCAATATTTGAAAGAGAATGTCGGTCACACCCAATCTCCTACCATGACATACAGATCTTGTTGACCGTCTTCCAGAATATTCTACCTGTTGCTTATAGCCCTCTGGGCAACAATATCTTCGGTGCTCCACGGTATACTAAACGCTCATACCACCGCTGACGGAGTGAACTAACCGTCAAATAGTGTTGTCGATAACCCCGTCGTGATCGAAATTAGCAAAACATTGGGCAAAGATCCTGCGGGATTGCTGATCTCTTGGGCTGTCCAGCGTGGTTCCGCTGTTATTCCAAAGAGTGTCACCCCGGCTCGGATCGAGAGTAACTTTCAAGGTATCTATCCAACCCGGTCCTCAGTCTTCAAGCCTCAGTGACTGACCAGCACATCTCGACCAGACTTCATCATCCCTGAGGCGGAGTTCGAAGCTCTCAAAAAACTCGATCGCCATCAACGATACAGCTATCCGTTCCGCTGGGGCGTGGATGTGTTTGGGGAATTGGGTGCTGAGGATGCCGAGAGACGTGCAGAGGAACATGTAGTGAAGCTCAGAGAGAGCGAGAACTCATAATGTTCGTAGCGATCAAGTGTCTTATAGACGCTGAGTGGCATATATAAAACGAGCCGTGCTCGATTCTTGAAGAGGGGAACGAGTCAGTTGATGCACTTCTCACAATGAATATTTTCATCCGCGTGCAAAACCTGATCTGGAGCTACCGGACAGGGGGGACACAAGATGTAACGGACTGCGTCATGGCCACCTGAAACCATGGTGCTCGTGATCGAGCGCATGAAGAAGCTGAAAAAATCCGCCAACTGAGAATGACGACGTGGACACTAGCATGACCGATGCAAGCTGCGCAAGCACGTCGACATGAAGCTGACTCAGTGACCTCCACAACAATCACTATCAACTGATTCTGGAAAGCAAGGGTGGAAACGGAGCTCGTCGCTTTCAAGAGCAGCGATTGGTCACAGATCATCTCTGATCTGCAGCATCTGTCAAACACTGAATCAGTGCCTGAGTATCTGTGGGTCCCATCATAAGTTAATTCCCCGAACTACCTATTTTGGACATCGCGATGACTATACTGGACATTCAGCCTGATGTAACTGGCTCGACTTGATTCTCTGTGTGAGTTATGAAACATTCTCGATCGCAAGATTGAGGGGCAACCACCATTCTGTGCTCTGGATAGGGCTTGATTCGAAAATACATAAATCTTCGTGCTTGCCAGGCTTTATCTTCGAATCTGCCTTTATTCAACGACAGTGGCTTATCTTATTTGCGACGTGCACGAAGGACGAGATGCTTTCTGATATTTCCACACAGCTGTCCAGACTGGATCCCTTCAGTCTGGCTGGAGTACTTGTTATTTCAGGGTTGTTCTTCCTCTTGACTCTTCCTCGGAGGCCGCAGTTCCCTACGGTCAATGAGAAAAACCTTTTCCAAATTCGGTCCTCGCACGTCAAGAAGCAGTTCTTGCAAGATGCGCACAACTTAATCAAGGCGGGTTTTAGCAAGGTACTTTCCGCATACAGTTGATGCTTAGAACCAAGAACTAAGTCACTCGAGGCCCGCATCTTCCGCATCAACTCGGACAATGGAATCAAGACCGTGCTAGCACCCGAGTACACAAATGAACTTCGTGCTCACCATGCCTTGAGCTTTGGCAGTGCCGTTGCGCGGGAGTTCCAAGCAAACATTCAAGGATTCGAGCCTTTCAAACAACTAACAACCGGCGATGAGATCTTCCAAGATGCTATCCGAATAAAGCTGACCCAGAGTCTGGGTGAGTTCTAGGATCTTGAAATATCTCTCATGTCATGTACAATCTTTTGAATTGTTGATTGTCAAACAGGGAATGTGACCAAGCCCCTCTCAGATGAGACATCGATTGTCCTTGAAGAGCACTGGTCCAACGATGCCAGTGAGTTATCATTTTCCAGTCTGTTTCACAAGTGCTGATCAGGTCAGACTGGCATGAAGTGGCTCTCAAGTCCAGCATTCTCAAAATCGTTGCTCAGCTCTCATCAAAAGTCTTCCTTGGGGACAAGATTTGTCGTAATCCAGATTGGTTGCGTATAACTGTCGACTATACTGTGGATTGCTTCCTAGCTGCTCAGGAACTCCGGCTCTGGCCCTGGTTAATACGCCCTATTGTGGCCAACTTCCTGCCATCCTGCCGTAAAATCCGCCAGGAACTTAAGGAAGCGACAAAAATCATAACTCCGGTGCTGGAAGAAAGACGCAGGGTCCAAGAAGCAGCCATTAAGGCGAATCAAGCACCAAAACGCTATGCTGATGCTATGCAGTGGATGGAAGAATGCGCCAAAGGTCGGCCCTATCACGCTGCAGTAGCGCAAATGTCGTTCTCAGTTGTTGCCATCCATACGACGTCAGACATGCTCACACAGGTCCTCCTCGACCTTTGTGCTCACGAGGAGGCTGTCCAAGCGCTTCGCGAGGAAATTGTGGCGGTCATCCAGGAAGAAGGATGGAAGAAGTCCACTTTATACAAGCTCAAACTTATGGACAGTGTGCTGAAGGAAAGTCAACGCTTGAAGCCGATCAACATCGGTGAGAATTTCCCTGACCTGAAACGTCTATATTGCATGATACTAGGAAAGACTAACCGCGCTTGAAAGCTTCAATGAGACGTGTCGCACAGGATGATATCAAATTGTCCGATGGCACGCTCATTCCAAAGGGCTCCGACATTCTCGTCTCTAGCCACAAAATGTGGGATCCAGCCGTTTACCCAAATCCGGAGACTTTCGATCCCTACCGGTTCTTGAGACTACGCGAGACTCCGGGCCATGAGACTTCGGCCCAGTTAGTGTCGCCGTCTCCAGAGCATCTCGGATTTGGCTATGGGAAGCACGCTTGTCCAGGACGATTCTTCGCTGCCAATGAGGTCAAGATCGCCTTGTGCCATATCCTGTTGAAGTATGATTTCAAACTAGCCGACGGCTGTAAACCGACTGTGCGAAAGAATGGTATCGCGCTCAACTCTGATCCATTGGCGAAGCTAATTGTCAGACGGCGACAAGAAGAGATTTTTCTCTGAAAGTAGGACTGGGTGTTGGCTATGCATCGAAAGAACTTTCTGTTATCGTGTGACTATCAACTTGTGTTTTGCTATTTGTGTGCAATGAACATGCACTTCATAGAAGGCAAGCCTTTGAGTATGAAGTATCCCTTCTTGTACACACCAGTCGGCAAACCGAAGGTGTCCTACATTGATGCAAGCAGGCCAAGAGTGAAACAAAAAAAAAAAAAAAAGGTATGATAAAGATTCAGCTCAATGTGTGGTCTGCATTGACCAAGGTCAATATTCGCTAGAAGAATGATTCGAATTATCGGTTAGAATGAATGAGATCGAGGAATAATTGAACTTGGGCCAAAGATGGCAGCGTTCAATAAAGTGTGATTGCAGGAGAGAAAGGGCAATGACTTTAAGCGTCAAACACCAACTGGCGAACATAAACTGATGAATAAGTGAAAATCTGCCTCAAGACAGCCAAACACCTCCCCCAAAACTGCTTGATCACCAGAAAGAGTTCCCACATATCTATGATACTTAAGTTCAGGAACTCTATGATAAATAGATTTGAGAGAAGTGGTAATCACAATGCCGGCCGTCAAAAAAGGCAGAGTGACGAAAACCAAGGCCAAACAGTCATCGCGACGAAACTCGACTCGACGTAGTTTGAGAGGAAGGGAAGACGATGATCAGAATAAAGGTGCGTGACTCGTCAAGCCATGATTGTCAATACACCTAGAGATGTGCATAGCTGTGGTCCTGGATGAATCCAGAAAGTTGGATTCAACATGCTTTTATCTACTCCTTTCTGCTGCATCATGACGGATGCAATTCCAGTTCATTTTGTCTCATTTGAGGTCATCCGTATCCATTAAGATCTCACCCTGTGCTCTTACTTCAGTTTTTATATGAAAGATTCCGGACTTGCGGAGATACAACTGAATCAAGACGCGTTTTGACGCGTTTACAGATCCCAAACCACTACCTCTGGTAGAGCGCACCAACAGTCTATCCATCGAAGAATTCACCGAGCTGTATGTCAAGCCGGAGCCCCTTGACTACAATTTACTATTGTGTCCAAAAGACAAATATGGTCGATCTGACGGCAACAAGCCTCACACGGAAATGCACTGCACCATTGACGTTTACTCATCCAGTGCGATTCCCGCCGAGGAATTCAATGCGTGTTTCAATCTCGTCGAGCAAACGTCGGCAGAGGCTTATAGGAAGTCCAGCTGGGGATGGTCTGCGGCTCGCAAGCGAAACGAGATGCTATTGCCTGATATGAAATATCTTATTCAGCGACGCAGCCGGTTAGGTCCACCGGAAGTGACCATGGCGAACGGCATATCCTTCCAGAGGGAAGAGCTGCTGGCGTTCCTTTCGTTTATGGTCACGTACGAGGATGGCAAGGAAGTAATCTACTGTTATGAGCTCCATGTGGTCCCAAAGGCTCAGGGCCAGGGGATTGGAATGCATCTGTTGGAGTTATTGCGATCAATCGGGCTCAAAATTGGACTGGAGAAGGCTATGTTGACCTGCTTTCGGTCTAACCATCGCGCATTGCGGTTATACAGTTTAATTGGTTACAAGGTGGATGAGAGCTCCCCCAGGTCGATATGGTTGCGGACAGGAGAAGTGGAGCCTGACTACTATATCATGTCTGAATCTCTGAAAGAGGAGCCGTCACATGAGAATGACAATGTTTGAATTCCCTTTCGAAGTTCGAAATCGAGAAGGATTATGGTACCCTAAACTAAACCTGTCTGACATCTTTGCCCTGCATCTCTGGGTTCTCCTGCTCCCACTCGTCTCTGAGAGCAGCAAAGATTGTGTCTGCCAAGAGGATGGAGAGTCCCAGACTCCACACCAGTGTGATCGCATAGAAGAAGTTGGCATTGCCAGATCCAGCGTAGATCCATAAGTAGTAGAATGCAGGGCCCAGTAGGGTGGCGTACAATAGAGCCGAAATGGCAAAAAAGGTGTAGCGCATCACTGTTTGTTGTTAGCAGAAGCAAAACGCCAGAGGAGCACTGTCAGAACTTACAGGGGAACAGATGCCGGTAAAGAGGGAGAAGTGCAAAGTACAAGGAGGCATCCGAAATACTAGGATACGGCTTGAAGACGGCGAAGATGCCCAAGAGGGAAGTCAGAACAAAAAGAGGCTGCTTGCGCAATCGAACGGTGAGACCACCGACATAGCCCGTTAGATGGAGCCAGAAGACGCCAAGGAAGAATTCTCGGAAAGAATCAAAGATCTCAATGAAGAAATACCACCAGAGGCCAATGTTAGGAGTCAAGTCAGGGACAAGCAATTGGAAACCGTATGTTGCAGAGATAAACTGCCGAAAGTCGGGAACGACTAAGTAGGATAGGCCCAGAAGCCCTCCGACGCTGAGCAAAAGTATGCCAAAGTGCTGAAGGGAGAAGATTGCAACTCCAGATGGAGGCTTCGCGCCTTGAGCACGTCGATCGTAACACAAAAGCACGAGCGGAACAAACAGGAGGGCCGGGTAGATAGACAAATATGACGCGCATCCTAGAGCGAGCATGGCATTGAAGCTATTCCCAGTAACGGCATTGGACAGAGCATAAAGGATTGCGGTCGAAGTGAAGGCGCTTGTGGATCGGCCCAGACAGGCGGCAATGGTGAAAGGGTTGAAAAGGTACCTGTTATCCGTCAGCAGCATAGCCATGCCGGAAGTCGCAGAGTGTAACTACCATGCTGCCACATCCACTCCATCCCACTTGATATCCTTTCGCAACGCCGTATACAATCTTCCGGATATCGCCTGGTTGGAGTCGGATATGGTGACCAAGGCATTGGCATTAACAAGGTCAATCAGAGCGTAGAAGATGGCCGTCGCTAACGGATAGTCTCTGGCATTCGGTAGTAGTGCGAACATGGGAAGAAGAAGCGGCGCCTAACTCGATGGTATCGCGACTTAGCAAGAACCTAGAGCGAACGGATCTCAAACTCCATACCTGATGGAAGACGCCTCCGTCATAAGGGGAACCATTTCGAGTGTAAAGAAAAAGGCCTTCTTGGACTGGAGATAGAGAAGTCAGCTCGAGCATTCCCGACACACAAGAAACAAGCTAATATAGAACACACGTCTTTTGAAACTGTTCACTGGTGTAGAGACTTCGACTCTGCCCGTCAGCAGGTCCGGCAGCGAGGGGAACAGGAGCAAGAGGAGAAGTCGCAAGACGAAAGCACCGCCGAACACGGCGGCTTTCCGTCGATCGACCGGCATGATGTGTTCAACAGGGAATTGAAGATTGCAGCATAGCAAATATCAATAGTTGACCATCTCTATCTGGCTTTCAGTCAGTGTCTCGCTATGGCTTTATGCTTGTATGCTCCAGCTGTCCTTCGGCCTGGCGCGCCAAGACTCCGCGCATTTCCCTTTTCCGCAGCGCACGGGCCAACCAAGCTTGTGATTGGTAAAAAAAAAAAGAAAAAGAGGGAAAAAAGAGTTATCAAGAAATTTTTCTGGTTATCAGAAATAAGTCTCCCTTTCATCAACAACTTTCGCTCAACAGCCGTACGCCGCAAAGATGGGTAAAATTAAGAAGAAGGGTATGTTTATCGGACCATATTATTTGCGCTCTTGAGTTTAAATTGACTTCTTTGTTTCCAGGTACCTCTGGTCAGGCCAAAAACTATATTACCAGAACTCAGGCAGTTCGCAAGCTTCAGATTTCTCTGCCTGACTTCCGTCGTCTATGTATCTTCAAGGGTATGTTCAGGGAATCCGATCCCGTTTCTCCTCTCTATATGTGATAGCGTCGATTCTCATTTGATTGTCCCTGCGAATTAGGTATCTATCCTCGTGAGCCTCGGAACAAGAAGAAGGCCTCGAAAACATCGACCCCGAATACCACCTTCTACTACACCAAGGATATTCAATATCTTCTCCATGAACCCCTACTCAGGAAATTCCGAGAGCAGAAAGCCGTTGCGAAGAAGATCGCGCGGTCTCTTGGACGCGGAGAAGTCGGCGATGCAGCTCGGTTGGAGAAGAACCATGCCCCCAAGCTCACATTGGACCATGTCATCAAGGAGCGCTATCCCACTTTCATTGACGCCTTGAGAGATCTGGATGATGCCCTGTCACTTCTTTTCCTCTTTGCCAACCTCCCCTCAACCGCCCACGTTCCTCCTAAGACCATTGCCCTCTGCCAACGGCTTTGTCACGAATTCCAGCATTACCTGATCACAACCAACTCTCTGCGCAAATCTTTCCTTTCCATCAAGGGTATCTACTATCAGGCTACTATCCAAGGACAGGACATTATGTGGCTGGTTCCTTACCGATTCGTGCAGCGCGTCAACGGCGACGTCGACTACCGTATCATGGCCACGTTCGTTGACTTCTACACCACTCTGCTCGGATTCGTGAACTTCCGGCTGTATTCGTCGATTGGTTTGAGATATCCCCCCAAGTTCGACACCAGAAGCGACGAGAATGGCGCGGAATTGGCGGCTTTCACCCTTGAGGGCCGTGCAGTCGGCGATGCCCCGAAGGCCATTGAGGCTGGTAGCGCACATGCAACCACCTCTACTAACAAGGAGGTCTCGAAGGAAATTCAGGCTAAGGTCGACAAGGTGATCAAATCAGCGGGACTGGATCAGGCAAAGGAGGAGCCGGCTGCCGAGACGACCGAGGAATCTAGTGAAACGATTGACAAGTTCGAGCCCGCAGCCCCCGAGGCCGATACACTCCCCCAACCCGACCTGAGTGGAAGCGAGGCCGGGTCGCTCTTCGCCCCATTCACATTCTACATTTCACGAGAGGCACCTAGAGCCCCCCTTGAATTCATTTTGCGGGCTTTCGGCTGCAAGCGGATCGGCTGGGATGCCGTGCTCGGTGATGGTGCTTTCACTCACGACGAGACAGACACTCGCATTACTCACCAGATCGTCGACCGACCTCAACTGCCCGAGTCCTCTCTCCCAGCTATTCCTGCTGCCTCGGAGGACGGTTCCGACGCTGTTCAGAAGGTGAAGCCCGGCACTCGGATTCCTGGTCGAACCTACGTCCAGCCTCAGTGGGTCTGGGATTGCATCAATGAGGGCAAGCTTGTTCGTCCCGATTTGTATGCTCCCGGTGCCACCCTTCCGCCTCACTTGAGCCCTTGGGTCAAGCCTTCAAGAGGCGGCTACGATCCTCGGGCCAGCCTGGCGGAGCAGGAAGAAGAAGGCGAGGCCGAGTTAGCTGAGGACAGTGATGAGGAAATGGATGAAGCATCCAACGACAAGAAGGCCGAAGCTAAGGCAGATGTTGAATCGGAAAGTGAAGACGAGGAGGACGAGTCTATCGACGGTGGCATGGATGTTGCCGGTACCGACGATGACGAGAGCGAAAGTGAAGAGGAAGAGGGAGACTTTGGTGGATTTGAAGATGAAGAGGCTGCTTCCGAATCGGAGGACGAAGAGGAAGCGGCCCGCACGCAGCACCAGAAGGAACTCGAGGCTGAGGCTGCTGGTCTTCCCTTCTCTTCCAACGGTGCTACTAGCGACGCATCCAAGAAGAAGGCTTCTCAGGCTAAGAAGATCGCTTCCAAGAAGCGCAAGGAGGAGGAAGAGCTGGAGAGACAGAAGATGATGATGAGCCGTAAGAAGCGGAAGTTGCTTGAGAAGATGGTTTACTCGAACAAGAAGCAGTCCGAGGAAGCGGCGAAGCTGCGGTCAAAGAGGAGAAAGATTGAGAAGGGTGCGGCAAAATGAGTCGATTAGATAAAAGTTAGCAGTATGCTTTTGGCGACAAGATGATATCCTTTTCTGGGATCTGGGGGCATTCAATCTTCTGGCGTCATTCCTTGGTTTGTAATAATTTCAGCATATAACCGTCGTATATTAAGATTTATCCATTGATATTTGTACGATCCCTCTCTATATACCCTCAAACATAGGTCTGTCGAAACGTTGAACCTGAAACCTGAGGCTGTTCTCCGTAGCTGTTCGCATCACGTGATATCAATTTTCTTTTTCTGGTTCTCGTCTGAATGCGATTCCTACATGTAATCAAATCTCATAAGGCTCAAGATCTTTGCGTCAAGGAAAACCATGTTTTCAAGCAAGGTCCGCTAGCAATCCACTTTTGAAAAACTTGCGCCGTCTTGGCAACTTTCTATCTAACGACTCTGAATGAGGTCATGATTGTTCCGCCAGCTGCAACGGACAAGGCACTCGGATTTTGACCCTACTATGCTAGAAGACCGGCAATTTTCATCATATTGCCTCGACGCCACATATAAGTGTTCTATCAGTCAATCACTCAGAGGCGTATGACGCTCTTAGACCGAAAAGAATGTCCTCGGTGTTGGGAAGCCAGCCCTCACACTTCAGTCCTCCTCAATCAGCACAACCGTACAGATCGTTATTCGGAGGCCCAAGTAGCCAAGATGTGGCTGATCTGGAACCGTACCCCGAGACACAACAGGGCGGGGATCGCTTGGATCAGCATGATTCAGACGTTGACATGGAAGACGTTCCATTGACTGAAAACGATCACTCAGATGATGAGACATATGTCGGAAGTGAGGATGACGGTTCTGTGTCCGACGATGAGGCCAGCGATGATGGCGATTCGTACAGATTATCGAAGAAGAAGGCCGCGATAGTGCCTCCGCCTAACAAGCAACATCCGGACAGTCCGCCGTCGTCGCCCTCATACAGGCCTAATAGGTTCCGTGGCCCTGAGTCTACGTGGAGAAAGCTTACGTTTGAAGACCGGCAGAATGCGCAAGCTCTAGAAGAACTCAGAGCCAGAGACCTTGCCGCTCATCTCTACAATGCTTATGCCTTACGGGTCAGGGCACGTGACATCGCACAGCAAGCGTTGAAAAGTGATAAGCAGCTCGACGAAACGGAAGCTTTTGTACCTTCCAAACGTTGGACAGCGTGGCCTGTACAGGCAATGGAAGTCCCTCGTGCAGGAGAGCATCTTCGAAGACAAATTGATGAGGAATGGACTTTGAGAATGCCACCGGATCCTCGGCCCAGCGCGGAGCTCGAAGAGTCAATCATAGCAATCACGCTCAAGACTGCCAAGGAACGGTTTCAGGCGCGAGATTGGACGACTAAAGGCGTTGGTTCATACCTAAAGCGAAGGACAGGATCTGCGTCCAGAACGAATGACGAAACTACTGGTGTGGAGAGCGAATGGGGAAGTGACATTGACTCTGCGGATGCAATGGAACTTCGTCCGGTAGTCCAAGCCGACGATGACAAATCTCGACGACAGCTGCGACCCCTTACGCGCAACATACTTACCCGATTTGATCAGCTTTTGATGGGTCTGCACTATGCTCGTAAAGGTGGAGTGGCGGGAGATGATAGCTCAGCAAGTGAATGGCAGAGTGACACCGGGAGTGTCGCTTCGAACGCATCTTATTCCAGGAAAAGGCGGATTGGCGAGAAGGAAGAGAGGAGTCAATCAAGAGGGCGCAAACGAACTCGCAGATCCTCCGTGCGGGCTAGATCCACGACGGGCCGATCTCGCAGCGTACTTGCATCGAGTGCACGCACTTCTTCTCGTTCACGTGGAAGGTCCTTTGATAGTGACCGCAGGCGATCAGCGAGTCGCATTCGTCGTGGGCTTCGGGACTGGAGCGAAGTGTTGGGTATTGCTTCCATGATAGGCTTGCCGCATGCTGCGGTTATGCGAACTGCTCGCAGATGTGCGGCTCTTTTCGGCGAGGATATGGAATTTCAGACCCTCAGGGAAGGTCAGCTACAGCATTCGAAGGAAGGATATGTCAACCAATGGGAGTATGTCGAGGACGAGTCCGACGAGTCAGAACCAGAGCTACAAACCGAGCCTTCCCCTCCTCGTCGGTCCAAACCTCGAAAACCACGCTCCCGTGCAGCGTCTACAGTTGGTTCATCTTCTCGTCCCGGTAGTCCAACATCAGAGGCAGCCGGTAGCACACCACGACTCAAGGGCAAGGGGCAGCATCGCAAGCAGGACATACTGTGTCCTGTCAAGACATGTCCCCGACATATCGATGGTTTCACTCGGACATGGAATCTCAACTTGCACATGAAGCGAATGCATGGCGGATATCGGTCTAGAAGTGCCAGTGTCAAGTCTTCGGCTGTCAAGTCCCGTGCTCCATCAGAGAGCGGTTAGCAAAGACATTGTGAAGCTAAATAATATGCTTAAGACCCAGCTTTGAACACTGGATTCAAAGTGTTTATGGACTCGATTCTGTTTTGTCCTGCTGAATAGTCCCGAGGCGGACTCAA